TTCTATGATATATTGAGTCCAGTCATCCATACTAAAGTTTATGGGAACTTTACCTTGGCTTCATGATCATCAGACCCATTCCTGGCAAGTATTTTTTTTAACCTTTTGATAAAAGAAGAATTTACTGAAGCTTGAAGAGTCTTCCAGTAATTAAAGAGTCTTAGTAAAAAATGTTTTGTTTCGTTAGTGCTTCCACACAAAATCGGTAGCAGTTTAATTTTCCCAAAGCCATGCTCTATCTGTGCTGTTTCAAAAGTAAAAAAAGGTGTGGTTCACAAGGGTTCTTTTTTTTAAGTAATTTTATTAGACAGTTTGCTTAAATCATAGGTAACTTAAATATTCTGATCAGCTGCTTCTTATGTGTTTTTGCTTAAGATTGTTAATACTGGGTGCATCTACATGTTCATTAATGCACAGGAGTTACTGCGCTTTTAGTTTAGTATTCGCTTAATGAAGTAGTAGCTAAATGCACAGGAACTACAGTTACTGCACAGTAGAGTCAGCGCATGGGTTTTTTTGTGATGCTTACTGTGCAGTAGCATATTAGCATGTTTATTGCCTGGCAGTACAGTGTTATTATGTATAGCACAAACTATGTAGGTTATTAGTCTAAAGCCCAAAGGCTCATGATCATAGGTGACACTTGGAGGGAGGGCAGGGGAGGTGGGGGGTGGCATGTGCCCCCCCTGAGATTGGCCCTCACTGCCTGGGGAGTGAAGGGCGCTGTGCCCGCCTCCATTCAATTAAGTGCTCCCGTGCGGCCTTAGCCTGGACTATGGATCACGTCTGTCCTGGGCTCACGGGTGGACCCCACAGGCTACCCTGCTGATGTCAGGGGGTCCCCTTAACTCACCTGCCATGACTTGGGATGTTACCTCAGTGGAGGGGTTCCCCCTTGGGGCAGCCTCCAGGGTCGTCACATCTCTCGGCGGGCACTCACGGGGCTCCGACCTCCCCTACACCCCGGCCACTCGCCATCTTGAGCTGCCGATCTTCGGGGCCC